CTCAACTTGTGTTCCGTGCCATGTCATGCCTGTTGAGTGTTGATTTACTTCATATTAAGAAACTACTGCACGAAAACATTAATTCATAAATGTATATCATATGATTTTATTTCTTTTTCTCAGTATAAATAACACGTGCCCTGACTGTTCTACTCTTTGAATAAAAACACATCATTCAAGCGTAAGGGAGTGCAAGGGGTTATGATGGAGGGGTGTTGCAAATCATGAACACCTGCCAAGTGGTATGATAGCATTGTTTTCTACGTATATGTCCTCGGCTAGGCCTCAGTTTCAAAATCAGTCCTTGGTCCTTGGCCTTGGCCTTGGAGGCAAGTCCTTGGTCCTTGGCCTTGGCCTCGGAAAATTTTTCAAGTCCTTGGCCTTGGCCTTGCCTCGGAAAATTTTCCAAGTCCTTGGCCTTGGCCTTGGCCTCGGAGGCAAGTCCTTGGCCTTGGCCTTGGCCTCGGGTTGCCGGTCCTTGGACACATCCCTGGTAATTAGGGCCGTGTGTCAACGTCCACACTTTCTTACTCCGTGTCACATACTCTCCCCCAGAATTGTGAAACTAGAGGCTGAACATGCCCAAAGACAATCACCAGAGAAGGAGGAGCCCAGGCGGCCCAATGGTGTGGCCGAAGGACGGCCCAGGGACATCCTGGAGTTGCTTAGCAAAGCCAAGGAGGAATACCAGAAGGTGAGTTGGCTCAGTAATTTTGATGCTTGCCTTTGGAAGTGTGCGAACGATACATTTCCCCCTGGAGCCGAGTAACCCCGACAAAATGTCACATTTAACACCAAACATTAACAAACCTTTTACACAGACAAGAATCAAATTCAAATTCTCCATATTTTAGGCTATGCAATCGCTTTATACCGATTGGTACACCAAAAACAACACCTCCTCTCTTTCTCTGTTTAAAGGTTTCTGGTTTGTTTTTGTTTTTTTGTTGTTGTTTGGTTTTTAAGAAAATTGAAATTGATCTTATGTTTGTTCCTGTCATGTAGGCTCAGTCCGGGGATGCTGAAGTATCTACAGAGCCGAACGCCACGGAAGCTTTCAATCATGTGCACAGTTGTCAGCCGCCTGATAAGGTGTGCAATGCATGACATATGAATAAATAAATAGAACGGTGACATTTCATAAGGTCATGCATTCAAATCGACAAATTATGAGGTGATCTGATGAGATTTTACAGTTACTCGATATAGTTGCCTGAACATGATCAATGAGATTTCTCCACGTAACGTTTATTTTCTGTAAAATGCAAAATTGCAAACTCTGGATCAGAAAAGGATTACGTTTTGCCGCTTCTGACCCGTGGGCACATTTGATAAAAATATGTCACAGGTCAATTCTTCAACAAAATGTTGTGAATTTTATTACATATCTGCTGAACTTTTTTTTTTCCAATGAGCACTTAGGAAAAAAAAAAGACAGCTGTAACAAAGTGCCACATATCAGATCAAATGCCAAATATGATAAGAACAAATAACAGACTTTTTTTTCCACAGAGGGTTTACTATACTAAGAAAGACTGTACAGCCCGTAATAAACTATAGAGGTGATGACGTCATGTTCAAGCGTTAAACACGGTTGAGGTCTGCACACACAATATTTGGATTGCTTTGAATGGTTCACCTGATTGTTCACGTTTTCTTCTTTGCCCATCAGAAGACTCACACGATGGTGAAGCAGATCACAGTCGAGGAGCTTTTCGGCTCATCCATCCCCAAGGACCCTTCTCTGCCTGCCATGCCGACCCCAAATCCAGCCGCTGCTTCCAGCGAGCCGTCGGCAACCTACCCCCAGAACCAGACCTATCCACCTCCAGTCCACCCAAAACCTCTCTGCCCTCCCCACCTTGCTGGCCAGGATCCCGGGTCAAACCAGGTTCACCAAGGACACAGCCTGCTCCCAACATCTTATGCGCTACACCCGAACCCCGCTTTCCAACCAGTGGGCCCGGGGGCCGAGCCCCGATCTCTTGGCCCGCTCATACCTCTCATGGTGCCACCAGCTGGTTCCCAAACTCCAACTGTTCCCGCTGGCTCTGCGGTGGCATCCGCGGTGGCATCCGCGGTACCCCGAGCCTATTTGGAGCAGGAGCTCCTAAGCTCACTGAAACCATCAGTCCAGTCGCTGAATGCGGAAATCCACAAACCCATCCTAGCGCCCAATTTCCTGCCGAGCACCCTGGTACCACCTCACAACTTCCAAGAACGTATGAGGGAACCGGTCCTCCAGCTCACGCAAGAAATGGATGTTCTCTCTAAAGCCCCAAACTTGATCAAACCTCTCGCGGTGAGTTGTCAACATCTCTTTCCAGATGCAGTAGTTCATTTGTGGTACAGGTAATCAAAACTCACTTTTTCGTCTCTCCTGCTTGCAGGCCGTCCCTATGAGTCTCGGTCTTGGCATTTCTGGGTCGGATTCTTCTGTGCTTCTGTCCCCCAGCGCCTTCCAGCAGTCCCTCGACAAGGCGGCTGCAGCAGTCGTCCCTTCACCCTCCTCCGAACTCCCGACCACCTCTGCGGGGTCTATGGAAGCCCCACAACCGTCCTGCAACAAAGCTCAGCTCCAAAAGACTCTCATACACCTTATTAAGGTACAGCATTTTCAGAAGCGAGTTTCAAAAAAATCTCGAAACCGGCCAGAGCCAAATTGACGTGAAACATAGACTGACATGACTTCAGTGTATCCTAGCGGGCGGAGATTGAAAATGTTCCCGGTAATGACAAAAGGATGTGCGGTAGATTAACTTGAAGTTTGCAAATGAGTCGCATTACCACGGCTTTTGAATGGCTCACCATAAAATTTGGACTTGACAAGCCGTCCAATCGCAATAATGGTCGTTTATGTCATTACATCGTCGTACAAATGTCGCTGCGCAGCTCCGTGAATCCACAGCTGTGGCTGGCTGACTAACGTGACAGCGAAAGAGCAGCCAATCCTCTAAATGTCCCTCATCATCGCCTCCGTGGCAGCGAATAAGAGAAGTATAAAACTACCCGAAAGGAGGATGAATAGCATTTAACAGAAAACTAAATTTTGAAGGCTGAGCCATGCTAAATCGGCGCTAAGATACCATAAATGTAGTCACGAATTGCCGCAATAAAATGCTACAGTCCAATGAACAGGGAAAAAAATACTAGAGAGAGAAAAAAAGACATAGCCACGCACAGTACGGACTGAAAACAATCAATGAATTTAAACATTATTTTGTATGTACACACGCCGTTAGTATGTTGTTGTGGCTCAAAATTATTCAAATCAAGAAAACATGCTCAAAAACTGAATGAAAATATTGTTCGGAGACTTACTGGTGGCCCATTGAGATGCAAATGTTTCTGACAAAATCCAAAGTGTTCCTGACAAAATATCCAGAATGTTCCTGAGAGTTGATGACCGGGTTTGGCATCTCTGTATCCCAGTCGAGTAACACAATTCGTGTTTTTGCCATCCAGAACGACCCCGCGTTCCTCGGAGCCATTCATGACGCGTACCTGCGGAGCCTGGCCAAGGACTTCAGCAACCTGAAGCTATAATTATTCAACCCGCGTACACTAAGGAAGCGTCCGACACAGTGTCAACCCTGATGCCTGACTCCTTGCACGATAGGTCACTCTTCATGAATTTGGTCGTGAGAACTAGAGGAGGGAACTTTTTTTTTTTCCCCCACCTCAACCTTGCACTGACCAATTCATAAGACCCTGAACTTTCATCATTGGACTTTGAAAGCTTATTTCCTGACTAGTTGACCTATTGGGAGAAAACTAACTATTATTTTTCTTATATCACCTGTGGATATCATAGAGGATATCATCATTTTTCTCTTTAAATGAGTAGCGTTCTTATGGCTGCTTTTCCCTTTTTGCTCCACCTCTCTCCAGCAATCATAGTCAGTCCTTTCGTGATTGTGCGGAAAGGCACTGGTCGAACTAGAAAAAAAAAAAGTCTACTTTGTAAAACTACTTTTCAGAAGGTATATGGAACAAGTTTTTTCCTCCCTCCACTTTCATTCGCTTTGTGTCCAACCTAGCCTTTACGTTAACCGTTCATCCTTTTTAAGGAAAAGGTTACAGCAATGCAAAGTGTCAACACCAAATAGTATCATTGAACATAACATGAAAGCATGTTGTATATACCCAAGTAGTAGCACATGAAGTACAGCTTTTTCTTAAAAAGGAAAAAAAAATCTTCATACAAACAAGCCTGAACAGAAATGGGTGGAGAATAAAGGAAATTAAGGAATTAATCATCCTTCCCCAAACAAAATACATGTATGCAAACTCGTGGATTGTCTTAAAAATTGTAAATGTGAATAGGCATCACAAAACAGATGTACAGATAATTGACTGATTTTGTCTGGCAAATTTACATACATACAATGTACTGTACATACCATTTCTATCATTTGATCAATCAATGTGCAAAAAAAAACACAAAATAGATTGTTTGTGACTGATGGGTCTATTTTAAGTACAGTACTTGCAGATATATGTGGGTGGGAGTCATGACAACCAGCTGTTTAATAGGATGTTTTTAACTCCCAAAGTTGATTTCAATGTACACTTGAGTGAAGTGTAAATCGCTGTGCTTCCGTTTTGCCCAACCAATATTTGGTCACATAAGGAATAAGGATAAAGTTGAATTTATGTTGATCTTCGTGTGGAATATTTTTAAGGTTATTTTAATCGTCAGCCGTGTGATTGAGTTCATAATTTGGGGACCATTCTAAAAATTGTTTGTTTTTATTTTCGGAAGTGCCCAAGTGCCGTTTGGTTTATTCTGAATATTTTGGTTATTAAAGAATTGTGACAATAAACGTGTTTATTTATTTTTTTAACTTTTACAACTTCTGAAAAGATAAAGAGAGTACAGGCTATGTTCTTGTATGAAGGGAACATCGTTGTGGGCTTGTTAAACCTGGTTTGTGGGGCAAGTGCAGTTACTTTTTTGTATTTATTAAAAAAGTGAGTACAGTATGAACAATGTGTTAGACCACCTCCTACGACTTGTGGAGAAAAGAACACCCTGTTCTGTATGATAAAGTGCTAAAACACGGATTTAAAATTTCAGTGAAATCACAACGTGATGCCATCTTGAGTGGTGAATAGTTTTGCCGGATATCCCAGAATGCACTTTGATGTCTCGTCAAATCCTCCAGCATGTTTTATATTAGCGGGCTTTCGCACTGGGTGACACCCCCCGCCCCCGCCCCCACCTCACCGGAAGAGTTTACATTATTAACTCGACTTCTTGCGCAGTTGAACTAGAAGTAGCTTTGGTCGTGCAGTTTCGGTGTTCAACCATCAGATGTCGCCAGGCAGATAAAGTCATCTGCTATGGCTGCAATAGTGCAGCGGGTATGCATGAAATACAGTCGTACACTTAGTGTGCTCCCAAGAAGTCCCTATCCAACGCGAATAACGGGGTTCCGCTTTATTCCGGGATGGCGAACGTTGGGTTTGGCTAAGCATTTGCAAAACCGACGGGGAACGTTCCCTATACAGTATCTGGTTTAGCAAACCTAAAGATAAGCATAGACTACCATTCTTCATTCAAAGCGGTCTGTGTTACTCGGCAAACCTTGCTTTCTTTTCCCCGAGTGTACTTTTACATCAGTACCGTGCGGAGCTCATCGGATGCCAACAGTGGTCCCCCACATACTCATGATTTGGAACCTGTCAATTCGAATATTTGTGGATTTTTTAATAGATAGACATCTTTTTTTTTCATTTACAAAGCACAGATTGAATTAGTGTTTTTCTGAAGAATTGTTTCAGTTAAAACAAACAAAATATCCCCCCCCCCAGGCAAAAATAAATGCCGTCAATTATACACGAATTTTTGCTAATCGCGTGCCAGCTTGGTCCCTATCCAACGCGAATAATGGGGTTCCGCGTTATTCCCAGCACTCCATCATAAACGTGTAACGCGGTGGACTGTGGCTGTGGGCGTGGCTTTGGCCTCAAACCAAAAATCTTTTATGATTGGCTGTGCTCGTGCGTGACTTCGGAGTCTGAGTGCAGGCTGCTTTCAGCGCTAGATTAGCTATATTCATAGGATTTGCCTGCTAACACGCCCCACTCCCGCCCCAAATCTCTACCCTCCCTCACCGGTTTCACTTCTGTCACTCTGCTGCAGACCCACAACCGCCTTTTTAACCCCTGCAGTCGACCATTGCGCACGCATTTTGGGGGTGTTAACGCGTTTTAATCTGTCTAAACGGGTACAACATGGAAGACTACCACAAACCAGACCAGCAGACGGTGCAGGCGCTCAGGAACCTCGCCAACCGGCTTCGGATCAACTCCATCAAGGCGACCACTGCGGCGGGCAGCGGGTAAGATCTAAATGGATCCCACCTTGGCAGGTCACGGTCCAAAACAAAAGCGTTCTTGTTCATCAAAACGAGGAACAATCGAAAATTCCAAATAAAGATACACACGCGGTTATTTAGTACACTTTGGCCACGCATGAATAAAAAGATGTGTGGAATAAAAAATAGCCACACTGATCCTGAATTAGCATTGTCTCATGACAGGTGCAGAAAATAGTCGACGATGATCTACCGGTTCTTTGCTTGCTGACTCAATGGGACGTAAACGCAATTCACTATACATATATTCTACTCGTAATGGTGTGAAAATTCATTGAATTTGTCTGCACTATACTGCATATGCACGCTAAACTGTGGTTTAAAAATGCACTTGTGCTGTCATGCAATTCTTTTATTGAATTTTCCATCTGTAAAATACTTGATTTCTGGAAGAAATGCTTAAAAAGTTCACAAAATCGTTTCTCATATATTCTACTGTACCTGACTGTATGGGACGTAAATGCATTATACTCTATTGCTGGTAATCTTCTGGCGATACCTTAGTTCCGAAGATTATGTTTAAGTAAGTGTATTAATGCGAGTGCTCAATCATTATATTCGGCTTCTGTAGAATACTTTATTCATGAGTAGAAGAAGAAATGTCATGTTTCCTGGGGGCAAAAAGACGTGGAATACTTCATTTACCGTAGAACATATGTTTTTTACTATATAACCGATGGACACATTTTTATTTTTAACACTGATATTGCAAGGGATTTTTTTTATTTCATTGGTTCACTGTCTCATAAAATTAATGGTGTTTTACCCCTCGGCCCAACACCTCCTCTAAAAAAAAAAATTTTTTTTTTTCACGTCATATTTTCCGCTCACCGTTCATTGATACAAACGGGTTTTAAAATGAAGAAGAACGTGATTAGGTCAAGTCAAGAGTGGCCTGAACCGCTTCCATGTTGGGTTATATAAGGAGGAGGAGGAGAAAAGGAGGAGCGAAGTCCGGTTCGATGCAGTCCGCGGTCCAATGCACTTCATGGGACGTGTTGCAGAGTAAAGGCCGAATGGAGCTCTTGTCTCGCGAGCACGCTTCAGTCGCTGCAGCCGTTAAGCGCTCGTCATTCAATCGAACATTTACATCCCGTTAGACTTTCAAAATAAAACACATGGTTTGTTTTTGTTTTTTTTAACTCGAGTTTTACTCACGAGTTGTGAGCGTCTTAATAAATTACCAGCTCCTTGTCGTGACAGGTTAAAGAAATGTTGGGTTTCCAGACAGAAGCGACGTCTACAGTATTAGTTTTCCTGTCCATACTTTACGTTCTACTTTATTGGGTACTTGGGTACTCCCCCCTTAATTTTTCCGATTTTGTTGTTTATTTATTTATTTTATGGACCGTAAGTATTCTTCATCTTACTGTATTTTACCCAATGTAGTCTATTCTTTTCATCCTTGGACTCACTGAATATTTTTTAGGCTATGGCTCCCCTCATTTAATCACATTTTCCCTTTCAGGACAGATTAAGCCTTGATGGAAGAAGGCTGCGGTGAGGTATTTCTGGCATGTAGAGTGGAAATGGAAAGAGCAATAACCTGCAAGATGTCTAAAGAGTGTGCATGCACAAAAACAACAATATCCAGTGTGTGCGTGAGAGGGAAGCCTCTCTTAAGTCTGACAACATGTGCTCTGGCATGAATTAACCCAATAAAAGCATAGAAATTGTCAATATGCACCACTGATAGCAAATGTGGGTTTTTTTTTTTTTTTTTACTTTCTCACATTGACATGCTTTGGCTGTGATCTATTTTAACATTGGACCAAATGATCACATATCTTATGTCTTGTTTATCTCTTTCAGTCACCCCACATCATGTTGCAGTGTTGCAGAGATCATGTCTGTGGTCTTTTTTCATACCATGAAGTACCGACCTGAAGACCCACGCAACCCCAACAATGACCGTTTCATCCTTTCCAAGGTAGTACTGCATCTCCAGAGTGGCTGTCACCGGACAGATTATATACTTTACTAGAATATGCACTGTATAAATAAACAATTTGAAGGACCACTTAAAGGTGTTTGTGTTGATAACAACATTTCATTCAAAATAGTTCAAATAAAATCAATTTCTATTTTACCACATTTTCTTTCTGGGGCATCCATTGAAATACTGTTGAAATTCAAAACTTCAATAGGGCATCTCAAGACTTGAACATTTGTGGTGTTCAAAATTCCTCATTCACATCAACATAATGAAATTCTACTTTCTCATTCATAAGTTAGCATTTATGGGTCCTTCCATAACAAGGGTGAATAGACTATTTGATCTCTTCCACATCTTTCCAGGGTCATGCTGCCCCTGTGCTGTATGCTGTGTGGGCGGAGACGGGCTACCTGAAGGAGAATGAGCTGCTCAACCTGCGCAAGGTCGACTCCATCCTTGAGGGTCACCCTGTCCCGGTGAGGAACCTAAAAGTTCTACTTTCTGATCATTTTCCAGCACTTTAGGTGAAGAGTGAGCTGGAGCACATCCCAGCTACTTTTGGCCGAGGTACACCCTGGACTGGTCAGAGCGCATATGGAGACAAACACTCCGATTCATACCTATGGGCAATTTAGAGTATTCAATTTAAAAAAAAAAAAGATGTTCTTGGAATGTGTTCATAGAGAATATGCACATTCGATACAGAAAAGCATATTTAGTATAGATGACCCAGCTGTTGAGCCCCCTAACCTAGATATAATGTACTGCGTCTTTTTATATTTTGGTGATGTGAAAACTCAAGCAACCATGCCTGTGTTTTGATCCAATCGTCTTTTGTGCCAACAGAGGCAGCAGTTTGTGGATGTGGCCACAGGTTCTCTGGGCCAAGGTCTCGGGGCTGCCTGCGGAATGGCCTACTCTGGGAAGTACTTTGACGAGGCCAGGTAACCGACACGAAAACCTGATTACCCACTTGGTCAAAAAGTAGACACACAAGCTGCGGTTGCAAAATATTGAAAATGCTGGCAATTTTGTTCCGTTCTTTTTTTTTTTTTTTTTTTTTTTTTATAACTCACAGTTTATTGTCTTGTAACATTATATTGGTCAAAAGAGTGAGTGTGGGGGGCGTGCTGGAGCCGATCCCAGCGGACTTCGGGCAGTACGTGAGTTACACCCTGAACTGGTTGCCAGCCAATCCCAGGGCACAGATATATTAATTTACACGAAATGCATGTTCATGTTTTTGTTTTTTTTTTTGTTTGTTTTTGGGCAGAAATAATGTAATTTGTGCTATTTGCATTTGAGCAGAAAAAGATCTTTTCAGGAAAAGGTACAACTTTTTGAGCGTTTCAAAAATTCTTCCCTAAGATGAATTAATTAAAATTAATTGCCAACTGGCCTCACTCATTATTGAAAAATGAATTCATGAATTGACCTTGCATCCTGATAGTGTAAGAGATTTTGACTGACAGAAGCCCACTGTGTTGACGTGACATTTTAGCCCACAGCGTTGGAACAAACACAGCCTTGATAGGTGCGCTCTGGATTGACATTCGTTAAACCGACCATGTACATTAACGCTGACACTTTTATATTTAACCCTTTCAGGGACAGCGGTTACTACAGTACACAGCTTATTACGTTATCAGATTCCAGGTGGGGAAAAAAAAACATTTTTAATAAAATAAAGTGAATGACATTACAAGGCATAGAGGCGCATCCTAAAGACGCTATAGTGTGTTGTTTTTTTTTTTTTTTTTGCAACAACAATGTGAGGAATGCCATAGTGTACTCTCTCTTTCTGTCCATGCTGTGAGCGCTCACTTGCTTCTGCTCTAATAAGCACACATGCAAGTGCACTCCCTCCACGCCCCATCTCCCCATCTGCTTCACTCTCCCCCAACACCTCCTCCAAAATGCAAAGGTACATCCCTTCCCTTTTGGTGTGTCTGCTGTCTTACTGTTTGCTCGGCTGTGTGTGCAACATACATACAGTACATGCGTGCAGAAGACCGCATAGGTTTTCCCCACCCTGATACTCAGCGCAGCTCATCACTCTAATTCAATGCAACATAAAGGCTCCAAAGCCCAAAATAGGCTTCAACCACTGATTTCATGGAAATTCAATTCTTTTGCATAAACACAACAGTTTCACATCACTAGGATACTCTACCGGCTTGTAATAAAGAGAATAGAGACCTTTTTTAAAATGTTATTTTATTATTTGGTATGTGAACGCGAGGGTTTCATGCCCTGTAACCATGTGGAGATGACTGCATGTCGTTACCATGGAGACCCTGCATCACCTACTTTCGTGGTCTGTAGCTTTTTATAGGTCAAGGAATTGCTTTTGATAGCTTGCAGTTTGATGCCGCATGCCTCCCTATTCAACAGTAGAACCATATGATTTCTTACTTAAGTTATTCATATTGTTCTGGTAAATTATTATTATTATTATTATTATTTTTAAATTCAATAATAATTGTAATTTTTAAAAATATCTCCTGGTGTTTAAGTGCTTATCTGTATTGTACATCTGTATATCTTGTCTTGATGAATTGAGGAAAACCCAAGATATTTTGAAATGTTTATGAAGGGTGAAGTCAATGAATGATCAACCAAAACGAGGGTGCGGTTGTTCAAGCAGTACGGAAAAAAAAAATAACGTATGCATGAATGAACGTGTCCAATGCAGCAAACTTGAGGGTGATGATGCTGCAATAATCGACCGTAATGAATGTCAAAAGACGAGATTATTGAGTGAAGCGCGGACAGTCAATGGCTGCGTACTGAGTGGAAATTTGTTCTTTGACGATTTCTATCGTTTTCCGTTGTAAGGCGGGCGTGGGGGGTCTTTGTGTGCAAAATAGCATAGACGTAGACATTAGAAGAAATTATGAAAATCTACTTGTTACCGATAGCATTTTTTTTTGTTGCTCTATTTTACTCCATTTAGAATATCCATTTTGTCAAGAATGTATCCCAAGTATTGACATTCTGCGTTTAGAAAAAAAATTCATGATATCATAGTCATAATAGTAAATCTTTTTTTTAATTCATACTCTATTCTTTCCATGCATTCAATTGAAAGACTAACCCCAGGCAGCTGTTGGGAAAGCACCGCAGCTGTTCTTCCTTTTTGTTGCTTTAAGTCTGAGTACAGCTAACATCGCTCCATCTCGTTGCATCCACCTTTGTGGAATTCCTTTTGGCTTATATCTTTTTTTTTTCTTTTAGCCTCCGTGCGCTTTGTTGTTTCTTTGCGTGTGAGGTTGGAATGCAAAGTGTCTCTGCCTATCTTGCAGCTTTATGAAGAACGTGTCTATTTGACCGGAAAGCTGTCAGCAATCATTACGCCGCCAACTAAAGACGAGGATGTAGTGGGTGGGGCGCTGGTGAAGTGTGCCTTTGTGTGTTTAAAAAGCATCCCGTCAGGCCTGATCTGAAATTGTGCTGAGGAGAGAAAGCTGCCGGAAAAGACTCTCCAGCTGCTCCAAACTTCTGCTACTCGAGTGATGTCTAGAAAAGAGATTCTCTCTGCATTGATGCGGTCAAATCTAGAATATAGCGTTTCGATGGTACAGCACCATTCAGAACCAAAAGACCCCAAGAGTGACTTGGCATCTACCGTTACAAACTATTTAAGATACCCACTTTCAGCTCGCTCAAAAAGTAAAAAAAAAAAAAAAAAAAACATTCATAGTCATGCTGTTATGTTTAACTGTGCAATCAAAGCACATGATAAAATAATTTTTTAAATGTTCTAAATCAACAAATATGAGCTTTTTTTTTTTTTTTTTAATTGGAGAGGCAGATCACCTTTTCTAGATTATATGTTGTGCTGATTCTGAACCTGTCCTAATTTTTTCTCTGGCACATCAAGTTTTCATAATAATAAAAAAATAATATTATAACTACAAAGTAATATTTGATATGGTAATATATGAGGTAATATTTACAAACTAAGGGTTAGATTCAGTAACAGGTGATATTTTTTTTTTGGTGGGGGGTGGAAAGAGCCATAAATGACAACGCATTGTAAAATCCGTCTTGCGCTAGCTTCTACATGTCAACTTTAAAAACAAAAGTAAAAATATCTCAGAAATTTGATGTGCTATGAAAAAAAGTAGTCTTTTTAAAATTAGAATACCTTTGGGGGCATACAAAGCCATCTCTGGTTTAATATTTTCTGCTGACCAGGGTAATTCAAATTGAAATGTACCGTATTTTCCGCACTATAAGGCGCACCTAAAGGCATTCGATTTTCTCAAAAGCTTACAGTGCACCTTCTAATCCGATGCGCCTTATAAATGGATATTATTTCAACCGCTACAGTTGAAACAAAGCGCTTGACAGAACATTTAAAATACTACGTCCAAGAAATCAGAATATTGGATCTGATGTGGATCATAGCCTTATAATGTGATGCACCTTATATATGGATATAAGGCGCCTTATATATGGATCCATATCAATATTCTGATTTCTTGGACGTAGTATTTTAAATGTTCTGTCAAGCGCTTTGTGTCAACTGCAGCGGTTCTGAAAGCTTGATTGAAATAAAGCTGTATTGTAGTGTATTCCCTTTAGTGTAGCTCCATCTAATGGATGCATAGCGCAACCCCAGCCACCATTGTCGTTTCTATTCTCTGTGCCTTATAATGCGGTGCGCTCTATATATGAAATCAGTTTTAAAATTATTTGAAGGTGCGCCTTATACTCCAAAGCGCCTTATAGTGCGGAAAATACGGTCATTCAACTAAATGAAACTTACAAGTACTCTTATGTGAGAGAATGTTGCAAATTTCAAATGACACTTGCCCCCCCCTCCCCCCCAAATAAAAACAAGTCAGCCAATCTACACATGAACCCGAAGACATAATTGTTAGTTGGAAACTTGCGCATTATTTAAAATCCTTTGGAATTAATGAATGAATAAAAAAAGATGATCCATTCATGTGGTTTCTGTGTGTATGGTCGTCTGCGCACAGCTACCGGGTCTTCTGCCTGCTGGGTGACGGCGAGCTGTCTGAGGGCTCGGTGTGGGAGGCCATGGCCTTCGCCTCCTACTACCAGTTAGACAATCTGGTGGCCATCTTGGACATCAACCGGCTAGGCCAGAGTGACCCGGCGCCTCTCCAGCACCACGTCGAGAAGTATCAACGACGCTGCGAGGCCTTCGGGTGAGCCTGTTACACTGTGAAATGATCTACCCTTTGAATATTTTATCCAGTGAATTCTTGCATACTAAAATTTCCGTGTTTTTTGGTTTTTTTTTGGTATTTTAGCATGAATAGACTCACTACACACAGAGTCAAATATAACAAAAGCCTGAAATTTATCATCTCAAGAAATTTGAATATTCCAGAAAAAAATATCCAAATTATTTTTCATATAGAATAATAGGTTAGAATTATCTTTTTGCGCATGCCTAATTAAATTGTATCGCACCACACTTTAGTTTCACTAAAAACTTTCTGACAACATTCAAATTTATTGAAATGAACCTGCAAAGATGTAAATTCCATTTCATTGCTTCAAGAAATTCACGATTGAAATAGAATAAATCCAAAACAGTGTTGATAGTTTGAGTGTACTTGTTCAGGTGGCATGCCATCATTGTGGACGGACACAGTGTGGAAGAGTTGTGTAAGGTCCTGAATCAGCCCCGCCACCAGCCACTTGCCGTCATTGCCAAGACCATTAAGGGCAAGGGCATACAAGGTAATATTTGACAACTATTTTCATTTAATAATAACCTCTACATTCAATTCGTTGTCAAATTGAATATGAGACCTTGACCCCAACCTAATCCCATCCCCTCTTTTTAATCCCCAAGAATGTGTAGAATACACACCCCAATGGCCTATTGTGCGAACATTTTGTTATTATGAAGGAGGGGAATGTGCATTATTGTGTGGTTGGGGGCTCCAGAACATGGGTAGGAGCAGTTATCATAACATTCTTAGGCTGTGTGGTCCACGTGATTCTAACCTTTGACCTTGAATGCAGCCCGTTGTGTCAGCTTGATTTTATGCATGAGCCGGCATACATGTGAACAAAATCCGTCAAAGCATTCGGTACATCCGCGCTATCTAATGACACCCGGTACAAGCGCCATATAAGAAAATCCTGCCTTTATAACACAATAAAGCCCAATTTTATTAATTTGGCATTTTCGCCCTGTCGCCCTTTGACCATAACGCTTGTAAAAGTGGCATCGAAAATAAATATGAATGATGAAAATGAAAAATTAATTTGCAGTGGTGTAGAGCTGTACTGCCATATACTGAGTGGCGTTCCTAATATTCTGATCACTTTCTAAAATGTCACACGTCGGTCAAAATATGAGAAACAGCTCTCAGTGTGACGCAATGGAAATATACGCCACTGCGAAGTACACTACCGTGGTGACGAGTGTACCTTTCAGCGGCCGAGGATAAGATGGGCTGGCACGGGAAGCCTCTCCCCAAAGACATGGCCGAGAGTGTCATCAAGGAGCTGCAGAGCCGCATGGTCAGCTGCAACAAACGCCTGTATCCTTCGCCGCCCGTCGAGGACGCCGCGCCCGTCAGCCTGCGCAACATCCGCATGCCCAGTGCACCCAGTTACAAACCTGGAGAGAAGGTAAGCAAGATGAGGCGTACAATTTTTGCTAACATCCACACTGGCTGAAATACGTGAGATTTTTTAAACGTATGGTCAAAAACGTATTTTGTCATTCAATGCAAAAGTGAACACAAGTACAATTGAGTTGCAGTTGTTTTATGTAGCGGGCTAACCTAAAAAAAGATGAATGAAAATTGTCATCAGTGTCAAAACTGAGCAAGAGGACACCATTTTGTTGCCATTCCATTTCACTTTTAACACATTCAAGCCCGACTGGGATTGTCCTTTGAACCCGCATCCTCTCGTCTTTTTGTGCGTCTGTGACCAGATTGCCACCCGGAAGGCATACGGCATGGCTCTGGCCAAGCTGGGCCGCTACAACGAGCGTGTTGTGGCGCTTGACGGAGATACCAAGAACTCGACCTTCTCCGAGCTGTTCAAGAACGAACACCCCAACCGTTACGTGGAGTGCTACATCGCTGAGCAAAACATGGTAGGATGGGTTTTCTCTGCTATGCATTGCCTCAAGTTGAACGAGCAGTATAGCCATAAATACTGTTGAACTTGACAGAAAGAAGTTTACAACAAAAGAATCGTCATTTAAAACACAGTTAACCCCCAGAAAGAAAATTCTAGACAAGCATATTAAAGGTAAAGGCTACAATGCCCTCTCCAAGCAGCTTGATGTTCCTGTGACCACAGTTGGGCGTATTATTCAGAAACATAAGATCCACGGGAGTGTTTCCAACCTGTGGCCACAACGGGGAAATCGATGACATAGCTAAAGATACAAAGATTTGTATCTACTGTACAATTTAATTCGATTCTGTTTTTCACACATTAAAGTGAGCAATTCCTCACCCAGAGAGGCAAGAAATTAAGAGACTGCTAAACTCTCAACTGCTAGCCACTTTTATTTTCTAAAAAAAAAAAATAAAAAAAAAATCAGTTGACAACTGATCTGCACGTCCGGCTCACAGTGGAGAGGTGCAGGGTTCGAATCCGGCTCCGGCCTTCCTGTGTGGAGTTCTCTCCTTGCCTGCGTGGGTTTTCTCCGGGTATTCCGGTTTCCTCCCACATTTCAAAAACATGCACGGGAGGTTATTGAAACACTCTAAATTGTCCCTACGTGTGATTGTGAGCGCGGACGGTTGTTCGTCTGTGTTGCCCTGCGATTGGCTGGCAACCCGTTCAGGGGGTACCCGGCCTACTGCCCGAAGACGGCTGCCATAGGCTCCGGCGCGCTCGCGACCCTTGTGAGGATAAACAGATTTGGAAAATGAATGGGTGGATGGATGTATTTATTGCATCGTTGCTCATACCAATAGTACTTTGTAATGGTATGTCGAGAAGAAGAAACTTCATATGCGCCGTAGAGGTTGTGTGGTTACGGTGGAGCCTCGAAAGAAAATGGTTGAACATCAGAGGGGCTGTCGCTTCAAAATGTCTCCCTCACTTCCCTCTCACAGGTCAGCGTGGCCATCGGGTGCGCCGTGCGGGACCGCAACGTGGTCTTTGCCAGCACTTTTGCTACCTTCTTCTCCCGGGCTTACGACCAGCTGCGCATGGCCGCCATCTCTGAGAGCAACATCAACCTGTGCGGATCCCACTGCGGCGTCTCCATTGGTCAGCCAATCACTAACTCGACAGTGTTCAGGGGGTTTATAGCCAGTTTTTTTTTCCACTTGTAAAAGCTTCCCGAGAATCCTTAACTTGATCCTCCCATCTTGTCACCTTTTCCTACTCCTCTTCCTCTTTCTGGAATCAGCAACCTCCCTCCCCGTGTTCCCCCCACGAGTCACGGAAGCGATCTGATTCTTTCCCCACCTCCTTCCCTTTCACCTTCTCCTCCTCCACCTTGTCAGGTATACCGCATGCTCACGACCTGAATGCATGCTCGTCTGCTGGCACGCTGCGCAACATGTCAGCTTCAATCTTCATGATTGTTCACATGTGTGTGTTTGTGTGCGTGTGTAGGAGAGGACGGTCCCTCTCAAATGGGTCTGGAGGATCTGGCCATGTTCAGAGCCATTCCCGGGGCCACCGTCTTCTACCCTAGTGACGGTGTCTCCACTGAGAAGGCTGTGGAGCTTTCGGCTAACACGAAGGTAACAATGATTAAAATGCTAAATGCATTTCTTGCATCCTGTATACCATGGGTATCAAACTCATTTTTTGTCGCCGGCCACTTCGGAGTTACGGCTTCCCTCGGAGGGCCGGTGCAAAATCTCAACGTTATTTATTACCCATGACAGTTTGACATTTCTGTACAGATTCCAGCAAGAACCATGAAAGTCGACACATAATTTGCACCCGCGGGCCACATAAAATGACGCAGGGGGCCGGATCTGGCCCCCGGGCCTTGACTTTGACACCTGTGCTGTATACAGTACATCTAATCGAACTAGGGCTACACAATATGTCCCCCCAAAAATATCGTCATCATGATAATGACACATGCAATATCCGTATCGTAAAGACGTGCGGTAAATTTATACTTAGGGAATTGTGTATTGTGTAAAGCATTTCATATCTTGAAGACCCAAAGTGTCCACATGTGTGAAAATGATTGTGAATGGGTGTTTTGGCTATCTGTGCCCTGCGATTGGCTGCTGACTAGTCCAGTGTGCAGGATGTATATGTTCCAGCTCAGCCGAAAACCTAGTGGGGACACACGCTGAAAAAAATGGATGGATGGATTGTTTTCTTCTCGATCCTCAAGGCACGGTATAAATGGGAGTTATGATTCCCCCCCCCCCAGGGTCTGTGTTTCATCCGAACAAGCCGCCCAGAGAACAACATCATCTATAACTGCAATGAGGACTTCCATGTTGGACAGGCTAAGGTGTGTAGTGTTTTTTTTTTTTTTTTTTTTACCTTAAAAAGTAACAAAAGCATGTCTATTAGGTTCTTTTAATCATCTTCAACATTCATGCATGTTGTCACATGTTCGCATAATTTACCATTGAATAATTGTGTGAACATGCCGCTTAAATACATTTGTTGTCCAGCTACTTGTCCACCCTTGCCAATTTATCTAAGCAAATATTTTACATAATTGACCAGAAAAAAATCATTTTATGTCTTTGACTTTTGTAGTGAAATGCATTTCAGTTTTTTTATTTATTTATTTATTTATTTTTAACTTAAGTACAAGTTGAAGCCGTTGTTCTTTTACTAGAGTACTTTTACACAAGTATCTGAGTGAGTAGTTTTGCCAAATCTGCCCACTAGAATGCTGTCTTTTGATATGGAGTTAATGCTTTAGTCTTCCCTTCCATCTCAGGTTGTGTACAAAACCAATGACGACCATGTGACCGTCATTGGCGCGGGGGTGACCCTCCACGAAGCGCTGGCGGCCGCCGAACATCTGAAAAAAGGTACGTACAGAGAACCTTGTTTTGTATTTTGGATGTGTGAAAACACCCACTCAAGAATTCTCTCCCTTCTCCTCCACAGAGAGAATTAACATCCGCGTGATTGACCCGTTCACCATTAAACCTTTGGACTCCAAGACCATCATTGACAACGCTAGGGCCACCAGGGGGCGCATCATCACCGTGGAAGATCATTACTATGAAGGTGAGCAGTAGGCTCTGTTCGCTAATTCGTTAGGCTTGTGACGTCACCCAAGAGATGGCGCCCTGTCTTTTGGACTAGGTGTTGTGGAAAAACAAGCATGATTCTGATGTATCGCCCCCTATTGGACTGGAGTGGAACACCTGCCATGATTGCATTGTCGACTGAGTCCTGTTTGGGACTTGTTTATTTGATAATAACACAGAATCAATGACGTATTGTCCATGTTGCCGTAAATGTTTATTGTACTTCTTTTGACCTTGAACCAACTGTTGTGGATACTCATGATGCCTCTGCCTATTTCTAAGATTGTGTCATTGCGAGTCATTCGGTTCTTCCACCACACTGTTACATTTCAGTGTGGCCAATTAGCATGATTACCATCCCACATCATTTCGGCTCGACTAAGTTCCAGAACTGGGGTGATATGGTGAAATTAGTAACAGCTTGGTGCAAAATAAATTGAGCTATATTGAGTAGTAGTCAAAGATTAGCTTCATAACAGCGTTAGCTTCTGATCAGCGGCACTAAAGAAGAAGCGCGGGCGGGTGTTTGTCGATGTGCCACATTCACATTGTTCACAGTGTTAATTTATTCATTGGAACTGTATTCGGATAATTCATCTTTATTTACCAGTATTGTCTTTAAGTTAAGGGAGCTCGCTTGTTTTCGGGAACACGTGGGTGAGATTTAGCCCATTGGTGGTCATGCTAATGAAGATCGGACTCGTCATTGGCCCCAGCAGAATGTGGGGCGGGATAAATGCTGGCTGACTGCATGACACAAAAGGAGCTAAATATACTATATTATCAACAAATAACCTTTAAAAGTATTCCTATTTATTGAACCTTGTGTTATTTTGACTAAAGAATGCTACAGATATGCTATTAAGACTCCTGGGAGCTGTTTGTCAATATATATGTCTTAAAAACATGTCCAAATGTCCTGCATTTCTTCCCTTACTGAGGGCTAGAAGCTATTTTAACAGAAAAAGAGAGTACGAGGCGTTCAAGCAGAAAGCTTGGGGATGATTGCGCATCAACTCGTAAATAAAATGGCTTGAAGCAGAATAAATGAATCAAAAAAGAAAGGATCGAAAGACAAAAGGGAAAGGAGGCTACAGGCAGAGTGACAAGATGTGGAGGAATTTGGGTGATTCTTGTGAGCAAGGAAGGAGATGAGAGGGGTGGGGGAGGGGGGGCCATGGTACATGATGCTGGTGGGGGGATGGGAGTCGGCACAGCCCGTCAGAGCTTTTTAATTTCCGCTTTTGGCCTGTGGGCCCTCGCTGACCTACATACATTACCAGCGCCGTGCATTTAAATGTCCAAAATGTCTTTGTCTGCTTGTTTATTGTGCCGCTACATCCTTTAACCTTCTACTATACTGCGTAAGGTGGACCAGCCAGGACACCTTTCTTGTTGTCAGTGCTAATCCTGGTGCTGCCATTTTTGTTCGGTTGTGTGCAGTATTTGTAAAAAGGTATTACACATGATCAAACAATATGTCCAGTATTCCAAGACATCATGCTACAGGGTGCAGCATTCACATTTATTGACTCACTGTAGCTTCTTTATCTTCTGGCCATTCATCCATTTGTACTCCTCAAATAGTGGCCTCCACTCTAACACAGGGTTGGGCAATCTTTTATGCTCAAGGAATTTTTTAGAGGTGCTTTTAGATAGGGGTTAAAAAAAAAAAAAGTTAAAACGTGCATATAAATTATGCAAAATAATTTATTTTCAGAATGAAATAAAAATTCATTCTCATTCTGTATGATGTTCTGAAAAGATGATTACAAAGTACGTGTCAATAAAGAATAAAGTCACATTAAATGTACATGTAAAATTGTTAGTATTTTATTTGATTTACAATGAATCGTTCACAAAATATTTCATGAGAATTATTAAAATAAATGATAATCCAAACATTGTATCTTTTTTAATCTGTCCATGCTAATAACAAAAAATGAACTAACCAAATAAAAATATGCATATAAATAATAAATACATAAACATAACTACAATGTGAATTTAGAAATATAATCATAAATGTACAGATGAATGAATTCAGAACAGATCTAAAATGTGCAAGCAATTTGCGATGAACCGCAAGTTCATTACGGAAATCATGCGATGAATTAATCTAATTTAAAATTTGAATCGACGAACAACCCTAAATACGTATGCATGTATGTTATGTGTCTGTGTGCAAATGCACGTGTATTGCAGTAGATTTGCTGATACATGCAGAAATCTTGTACGAGTCAGAATTTGCTGTGTTCCTTATCAGGTGGTCTCGGCGAGGCAGTGTGCTCGGCGGTGGTGAATGAAAGCGGCTTCAGTGTGCACCGCCTGGCCGTGTCGCAGGTGCCCCGCAGCGGCAAGCCTCACGAGCTGCTCCAGATCTTCGGCATCGACCGCGACGCCATCATTCAGGCCGTCCGCAAGGTGCTCAGCGGCGCCGCCAACGCCAAGTGAGGCCGGACGGGTGGAGGGGCGCCCCGGTGAAGGTGAACTCTTGTCTTTTCGTCATGATGACAACCAACGCATAAGGGGAGTGAAGGCTCCAGTCCTCATAAGATGCCCCTTTACATTAAAAAAAAAAATTTAAAAAGCAATTCATGTTGTTTAACACCCAAACCCAATTCTGTTGGCGCACACACGCACAAATGTACAACCCCTCCTTGCCCCCCTCCCCTGAGAAAGTTCTGATACTGCTGTAGTGTGGACGTGAAAGAAGTCAAGTGATGTTTTGTTTTTCAATTGTTTTTGTGGAACCCCTCGCTTCTTGGGTGCGACGCCACACCCACTCTCAATTGTAAGCCCCACCCACTAGTGGCAACCGTGGTTTGTTTCAGAGCACCAATTGTTTTTAAACCCTTTTTTGCCCTCACTTGCGACAGGATGGCCTCACACCAATAAAAGGTTGCTTTCTTCACAATACATGTCTGAGTTTGGTTTTTTTTCTTGCAACATGCCAACCTTGAATAAAAGTATCATTGTGTTGTGTACAGATAATCCCACACTCTTTTGGATAATATAGCATATTGCTCAAATAAATAAAGTACAATGAACCCCCGCATTCAAAAATGTGTCTATTGCAGACTTTGGGGTGATGGGCGCATCTTGTCTCCAGTGCAGTGGCTGAAAAACTAACATCACTGGTCTTTGGGACCATCATCAAAGCCCACATCCATGTGTTGTGCATATTTTATATGTGTTAATAATTGAAAGGCCTTTTGAAATATTCACAGAGACTGCAGCATGGGTGTTTGCCATTACTTTGCGAATGTATGTGGCATTTCTGCTTTCATTCGGTCACGTTGGACTTGGTAATCTCGTCTCTCCATGCAGTAATTATAATAATATTAGAATTATTCTATGCATCAGGTTTATCATTAACATTCCATTAGCTTTAGGTTGTTTTATATATATATATATATATATATATATATATATATATACATACATTCATTATTATTTTAATTATTAGTCATTTTATTTAATGATGGTATTATTATTAGTCCGCACTTTTTGTTGTTGTTCTATTTAATTATTACTTTGGTGTCCTTTTTTTTTCCAATATTTAACTCTTTCCAAAAATTTAGTATTTATGGTTTGTTCATTTGTTTCATGAATGAAGAGCGTCTTAAAATCATTTGTCTTCCTCTTCTTCTTGTGGAGTTTACAGTCCTTGCTGCATTGACTTCAGCTCGACGGTATTAAATGTGATGGTTGCAATGACCTTTGACCCCACGCCTATAGCCCTACCGGGATTCTGTCTGGTCTTGGCGGTGTTGTCAGCTGTGGACGTGTGCATGCATAGTGTAGTTCACACACTGTCTCAGTCATCCATGCAGCTGTCAATCTGCTATATGTATGCACCGATGAACAGAAATACACACACACACACACACACACACACACACACACACACGCACGCACGCGCGCACGCGCACACGCACACACTCACACACACACACACGCAATCTAGTTTTCAATCTCAATTTCAGTCACTTGAAAAATGTGTGCCATCTAAGCAATTTTGCAACCATTGTGTCAGACACAAATGAGTATCATATGAATGATATTCGATGTTCAGTCTGACAAGGGAATATAAACAGGTCAGCACATCTAGGACAAAAGTACACGATGTTCCAAATAATGTGACGTCATTTGAAATGTGAATATCTGTCAAGCCTTGGCAGACAAATGTGAAACGGGCTTCCTGTTGAAAAATAAAATATATATTCATAAAAATTCCAACAACAAATACAGTATTCAAATATTTTCTACTCTTGTCCTTCACTACAGAGGACTAACACACAATCACAGGCATTTAAAATAGGATTTTTGCTCTTTAAGCAGAGGGACATGCATCATGCTAATTCCTTTTAAGACCTTAACCCAGGCGTAAGTATTGTTCTATATTCTCATTTTTTCAATGTTTTCAACAGTCATTTTCAACAGTGCCACTAACGCTAACCCAACACTATTATTATCAGAAACCACAATAACAAAGATCCTCTTTTTTTTCTACAGCTAAGCTTGTTCTTGCCCAGTAAGCATGTCCACGAACACAGCTCGGGTGTACACTTGACTAAAACATTAGCGGTGATTACTGTAATTACAATGATTAAAAAAAATTAACAATTTGTTAAAAACGATTCAAAGTACCTCAATGAAAAGGATCTACTCAGCAAAATTTAAAAATGTTTTTCAGGTGCCTTAATAACTGTAACATGGCCGTGTCAAAATAAAGGGAACACTTAAACAGCACAATGTAACTCCAAGTGCTCCCTTTATTTTTATTTATTTATTTTTAGCAGTTTATATACAAAATATCTCCTCAGTTTACCGTTGACGGCACACCAGTGTTTCTTAACATAAAAAATATTAAATAACTTTTCCTAAGGTGTCCTCCAGTTCTGGAATGACACAAATCTTACGATAGCGTGTGAAGACCACCCGCGTGAAATATTGTGGGTTCTGCTTTATTAAAAATTCTGTCATGTACGAACGTCAAAACACGAACACCACTTTAGACATCAAGTAATTGAGGATTCCTCAATGAGGAATGCATTTCAATTCATTGAACGACCTGTGAAGCGATCAGATACAATTGAATGTACTCGACCATACAAACAAAACAGAAAACCTTCATTGTAAATGAAAAATGACAAAAGCACCGGGGGACCGGGTGGTAACACAGCATGTAGACCACACCTTGAAAAATCTTCTCTTCCCTCGACAGCGCTGTGAGAAAACACCTCCGTCGGATTGGAGGAAAGAGTATTAAGTGGGGGCCGAGAGTAGGGCGAGGCAAAGTGGGAGGGATGAGAGGACAATGAACGATGTGAATGTGTAATGTGAAAAAGGAGGGTCGGGTCGACAGCAGGAAGAACAAAGAAAGACAATGGAAATATACCTGACACTCACACACGCCACTAAATTGCAAAAATAAAGCTCCTTCGTAAATGTGGTTAAAGCACCCCCTTCGGGTTATGTTGCAATCTGCACTACATATTCACTCTGTTTTTTTATTTGCTTGATGCTCTATCACAAACTTGAGCTATTCGTGGAGTAGTCAGAATTAGTTTTTCTTGCCAAAACCTAACTGGTGTCCGTCCAGTATGGAAATGTTCAGTAGCTAATAAGGATAAGTGCTATAAAAATATTGAGTGATGAATGGAAATGAGGGACGTTTTAAACAATGAGGAAATACAGTATTTGGTTCACATGTAAGCAAGATTGACCAGAGGAGCATTAGAAAAGGCACTGAAAGTTTTATTAACATGTAAAGTTTTTAATGAATTTGAAAACCTTACATTGTGAAATCCTGTTGTGTACAAAATGACAATTCAGTCGTTCAAGTCCATTATTACACCTGCGCTTTTCTTCTTCTTCCTTCTTCTCTTTCTGGTCTTTTTTTCGCCCATCGCACTGACTTCGGCAGGCGTTGCTTTGTCCTCGCACTCTAAAGCTTCAGGTTCATTGGGATTGGCTTCATGGAACTCCTCACAGGCAGGTGGGCAGGTCATCTCGGGATGCCTTTAATGCACAAACGCATTGATCAAGAGTGGATGCTTTAGGATTTATGCAGTGTTTAGTTTAAGATGTCAATCAATCAATCAATCGTTAAAATTCTCCAAATAAGAAGGAAAGTGTTATGGCTTCAAGCTATGTCTCTCCAAAAATGTTCATTCAAAGTACATTCGAGATTTCCATTTTCGCTAGCCAAATGCAAGTCCAATTAGCTTATTGCTAACAAACAATATGAAACTCCATTAATGGGCTAATGGAAATTAGCATCATTATTGCAGTTATTTTAACCCATCAAACAAATGATTTTATACAAGCAGTAACAAACAACTCGGACATACAGTTCTTTGTTCATGAATTTAAATCGTTCCACTGTTGGCGAACCAAGGTAATATTTTCCACAGAAATTTTGTTTTCTGTATACTTTGGGAACCACTTGTATTGTGGTAAGTGGCGGCCATTTTGGACAAGTTTTATCCATGGTCAATGTAAACAAGTCTGTGTAATGATAATAATGATGTTAGTGGGGCACAAGTAAAAGCACAACTGAGCAATTTAGCAAGTTAGTGGGTGCAGTTGAAATAGCGGTGCGCTCAAAAGACAGAATTTTACAGTATCACCCTCTGCTTGCAGGGTCTTTTGCTGGCACCAATAAATTAGTCCATATCTATACCTAAACAGTTCAGAGGGTAAGTTCAGAAAGATATGTCTAACTTTACAGTTTTCTCCAATTCAACATGATCTACCTTATTTGGACCATTAGCTGTGGCATCAGATTCTCAGTTTCATTGCACCGCTCCAGCAGGGCCACAAAGAATCCATGCGTGCGCGTCCCGTTGACGCTTGCCCGGAGACACTGAGCGAGGGTCGGCAGGCCTCGTTCGGGCCACTCAGGCAGCAGAGGAACCAGCCTGCGGGGGACACATGACACAAGAGATAGAAGGTCACTCGACAGTCCAACCAGGAAGACACATAGCTTTAAATCACATAATATGAGAGCATTTGTTTAAGGGACAGAAGGGAGGCTGGCTCCAGTCCTGTTATACGGGGCCAAGCCCTGCTGTAGGTACTTTATTTTGGAAAAAAAAAAAAACATGCAGATATTGCCTTCACACTAAGAGTAGGAATCGCCAAGCAATAACGAGATCATCATTTGTGAGCTTCAGTTTTTTTTAAAACATACATCAGCTTCCATGGGGGGGGGGGGGGGGGAATAAAAAACAAACAGTGAACTACAACTAAAGGACAGAAGTGGAATGGGCTGGGGCAAAAAGTCAAATAATTTGACCACGACGATCACAAAAATAGGTCAATGCAAAATTTTTGCCCAAGGCATTGCCGGCACGATTGGACGCCATCTGCAGACATTTCCAGGCCCAAAACTTCCATTGAAGGCTATCTAAACCCCTCATAATCTTTTCACCGTTAATTTCCACCCACTATTGGTGGAAAGGTAACATTTGCAGTCAGTGAGAATTTTCTATGTTAGGGGATCCCCTCTTCAGGTGTCAGAACAATGATTAAATGTTTAGCATAGTTGATATGAGTTTGGTACCGAGAGTTGCTTGGAAATGGGGTCTAGCATACCCACTAAGATGTTATCATTTCTGACTGCGATTTGAACCCTGTTCCCGTGGCAAAGTCAGAAATCCATCGTATCATTCAGCGACAAGGTAATGTGTTTTTTTTTTTGTTTGTTGTTTATTTTTTAATCTGCCATCACTGATCAGAACATAGTTACCCTAGCATTGCTAGCTGGAATGTACTGCATTGTGTTTGTAGACTTGATAAGATGTGTTGGAAATGAAAAATTAATTTCTGTTAAAATGCCAAAGCTACACTTAAAAGTTTGAGACACGTCTGTTGTCAACACATCGCTAATCCGTTGTCAAAGGATTCAA